TGGCACTCTGGGGTCAGAGGGAGAAAGAGGCCATGGAATAGATGGCATTTGTGTTTGAATGTCCTAAGATTGCTCAAGATGAGCTGCCACCAACTGAGATAATATCTGTGCCTCTAAAATGCTTCTTCAGTTCTCATTGTGGTTATTATTGTTACCCTCATACGATTTGTGCCCTTCAGGGAGGCAAATGAGGGTCTGTCCTGTGGGTTGATTAGAATGACCTCACTAAAGCACTTAACCCAATAGTATAATAATTCTTTATCTTGAGCTGAAGAAAGTCCTCTCCATAAAAAGGAGGGAAAAAAATCCAAGACCGATGGTAAGAAATCTCATTAAACTTCTATTGGTGGTACCTTGAAATGACTCTTCTAAGAAATAAAATGTTGGAATGCTGAATTGTGCTGAGTGGGTTCCTTTAGTCAGTGTTTTTTAAAGTGTAGACCAACTGAATTGGAATCACCCGGGAGTCTTGTGAAAAGGATACACAATCCAGGGCTCCTCCTCAGACATCCTTAATCAGGATATCTGGGAATGGAGCCTGAGAATTTGAGTTATTGACAGACCCCTTGGTGATTCCTATTGACGGACTAAGAAACAAGGCCCAGGGCCAGTGCAAGTAAATTCATTAGGAAGCTTGGGACAGACACATTGGCCATCTTAGGAGGCCACCATTTGGTGGGAGAAAAACCAGCGATGGCCACCAGGGGACTGAGGTATAATCACAGGGAAGAGGCAAGTAGGGGCTGATGCTTGTCAGGAGCTCGTGCAAGAGCTGAGCAGAAACTGCCTCTTCTGAGACAAAACGGAATCTGCCCCCCAGATTGGCTGAGGGGCAGAGATTCCTGGCAAGCAGATCTGATGTTTAACCAGAAAGTTCACCTGATACTGGTTTAACAGTTCCGTGTTAACTAGTGCCTAGTAAGCGGTACATTTTCTGCCACAACCACTCCAATCTGTGGATCCCACATGATATTTTATCCTCCACATTCCAGACCATCTTGTCTGCCCTTCTACTGAGGCCATTGGTCCTCTGCATTTGAGGACTTGATTATACATTTCTCTCCCACCCAAGACTGGGAGTTCCTTAAGGGTGGGAATTACCTGGTTTACCTCTGAGGATGGGTGCACATCAGGCACTGCCTGAACTGTTGAATGAGCATGTGATGAACTTCTGGTTACTTAGACATCAGGTCTACTTGCCAGGAACCTCTGTCTCTCAACCAGCCTGGTCTGATTGCTACCATAGGCAGAAAAAACAGGGCTGCGGGGAAAGAGGGGGAGGGAAGGAAGGAAGAGGTGAGGTCATCCTTAGGAAAAGGTGCAGCTACCAGACTAGCCAGAACTGGATTCCGGTGGCCAAGAGAAGATCCAGGACACCATCCTGCCCCTCAGGGTGAACTTTAGTTATTATAATAAATTATAATATTATTAGCATGGCAACTAAGAAAAATCTCCACCCTCCGTGTCGCCATGACAGTTCCAAAAGGGCCAAACAAGGACAAAAAAATCCCTCCTCCCCATGGGAAGGAGTGGTCAGCAAAGACCCACCTGGGAATGCCTATAACGCCACCCCAAAGTCTTGAATATTCGGTGCTCTCGTTACAAAAACAATAAATTCCCAAGCCCCAATTCTCATCAGTGCATTGGCTATTCCCCTGCCTGCCCGCTTCCACCACTCTGGGAGTGCACTGTCCTATCTTTGTTTCAATAAATTTACCACTTGCTTGGCTTGTTTGGTGCGCCTTTGAATTCTTTCCTGCAGCATAACCAAGAACCTGTTCTCTGGTAACAGGATCATTTATTTTGTCTCAGAGGAGGCAGCATCTGCTTCCTTTTAGCCAGAGTCCAGAGGTGGTAGTTTTGATAGAAGATTTATGTGCGGGGTAGGCAAACCTATGTCCAGCATGTCTGTTTCAGAAGAACAAAGTGCTACCCTTCCACGATCAAAGTGGTTAAAGGTTATCAACCTGCCATCAGGTAGCTGGCCGATCACCTTAGGAAATGGTGCTGCAGCGGGACTCGGTGTTGGCCTTTGGCAGACTGGGCACTCAGCAGTGGCAAGGCCAGCCTGGGTGAGTGGAAATCCATGCTGCAGATCCCATGCATAACCTCCATCCCTGCCACTTTGACCCACTGGGCACTGGCAGAAGTGGCTGAAGAAAGAGACTGACTGGTATCCACAGAATGAGTCATGCCATCAACTCGATTATTTAAGTCCTCCTCTGCTCAAGTCACACTTTGGGGAGCATTAACATGGGGTACAAATATCTTCACATTCTTTGCCCATTTGGAAAAATCTACAATATACCTCTTCCCCAGACTTCACTGGTACCAATTTTCTAGTGGTGTTCCTAACCATCCAACCAAACCATCTTTTCACAGCTCATGAGTTGGTATAAACTCTTACATGTGACCCTTTCTTATTCCAGGCAAAATGCACAACCAGGTGCACTGTTCAAAGCTCTGCCCACTGGGAGGATTTCCCTTGACCTGTGTCTCAGAGATGTTCCAAAAAGGGACTGTAGTGCTACAGCATTCACTTCTGGACTCGGAATCCAGTTTACACCGACTCTGAGGCCATAAATGGTTACATGCCACTACTGCCCATGCCTTTTTAATCATTAAGCTTCTGCTTTAATATTCTTCAGAGAGACCACGCCCAGTGGATGGAAGCTCTGCTCACTGGACAGAGCTTCTCTTTTGCCCCCACTCCCATCCTGGACCAGCTCTCAGCATGCGTGTTCATTGCACAGGCGTCCTGAGATTCGGTTCCCCTGCCTCTTCCCCATGGCAGCCCTTGCACACATTTCTTGAGTCCTCCCTCTAGGCATTTCCCTCACGTCATATTAAACTGCAGCCATGCAGTGTGATTTCTAGACTCCATTCTAAAGCCATATACCACCCTAACATGCTTCCCACAGCCATGACATATCCTCAAGGCTCAGAGACCAAGGTATGAGATTACATAGACTTTCTTTCCTAGAACAAACAAGGTTCTCAGACAGCAATAAATGCCTATAGTTACCTCCTGGACAGCCGCCTTCATTCAACAAATGTTTCATGAGTATTTACCATATGAAGGACATGAAGAGTGCAATAATGGGTCATATCCATGGACCACTGAGGACCAGTTCAGGAAGAAGTGCTGTAAGAAGTCCACTTTTTGACATCAACAGCAGTGATACAGAATGGAGGTTAAGTGCCTGGCACACAGCTGGGGCCTCCCTCTCCCCAGCCCAAACTCCTTTGATACTAGTGGGAAGAGGAAACCAGTATTAACTTCATATTGGCCCGGGTCTTAGAATGGGTGATGCTGGTTCCTGCCGACACCATGAATCCTGGCTGGTGATGAATGCACTGTTTGCCCTGAATCACTCAAGCATGTAGATGCATTCCTGTCTTGATGCCTGAGCAAGATTAGAAAAGTCTAGCAGTTGGCTTGTTCATCTTCCATGTATTTTAAGAGATATTTATTAACCCACTACTATGTTATCTGACTAGTGTATAGCAAGGGGCTGTCACTCCTTTTGATCTTCATTTCTTGGTTCCTAAGATACAACTCATGATGGTCTGCATTTTTGCAGCCTCAAGATTTCTGGTCCCGTTCACATTCTATTTAACATTCTGTTCCTTCTGTTTGCCATTTAAATAATGTCCTATGATTTTTTCTTTCAGATGCTAAAGCAAGTTTTAGGCAAGTATATATCGCTGCTTAAAAAGTCCTCAAGATGTAATAGTGGTATATTGTTGTAGTTAAGCCATAAGAAGTCGATCTATTTATCTATCCATCATCTTTCTGTCTATCTGTCTACCTACCTACCTACCTACCTATCTACCTATCTATTATCATGTTTAGGCTCAAATACACACACACACACACACACACACAGACACATGCACAGACACACACATAGACACATACATATGAGTATATTATGTTTAGGGTAAAATATACACACAGCCAAGCACACACATCCTGTTCCCATGGAGACACTTTTACAAGGGCTTAAAATTGTTGCTTAATGTAGAAAGGTATCAAAAGATTATATAGACTCCTCAGGATCTTGATCTTTCTCATGTATTTGCAATAATGAAAATTACATAACTCTCAAGTTTAAGAAATTCAGTGTTCCTGCCAACCACAAAAACCTATTTGTGGGTGTTGAGTTGTCTGACTGTATTTAAAAAGCATTTGTCAGATATTGCTGCTGCTTTCATGATTGTCACCAGCATTCTGTTGGGGGTGGGCAGTGAACAGTGAGGGGGAAAGTAGTAGAGAGAGATGGAAGGTACTTTGTGGCACACCTTGGAGCCGTCTCTTGTGGTGTGGCCGTGGCTAGTCAGTCACAGTGCTTCCCCGGTGGATGCAGTTGCTGGTGTTCATGTAGGAGTGTCATGTCCCACCCCTTCTTCCCCCAGGCCTTGCTGGGCTGGGTAAGCCAGGGCACAGGGTGCTTGCTTTGCCCTGTGGAGCAAGGCTGCCCTGGCCAGAGAACTCTAGGCCAGATGTGAGGGGCCACATCCAAGGATGCAGTGCAGGGGTTGCCAGTGCACAAGCTCTTTGCTTCCATCACCAGGTGACTCAGGTTCAGATGTTCCTTGTTTAGATTCATCCAGAGGAGAGGGGTGATCTTCCAAGGGTTGGGGAAGAAGCAGCAAGCCTCAATGCAAAAGGCTTGGAAAGAGGCCTTGAAAAACCCATGGATGTTTCACAGGGGCCTAGCCTGGTATGGTGACAGCAGTGGCCCACGTAGCCTGGGTTTTGACCGGCTCTGCCCATGATATGCTATGTGACCTCGTTTCTTCCCCAGCAAGAGCCAAACAAGTGGAAAAGTCTGGTGAGTAGGAGCTCCGAGAACCCCTGGAGATCAGGTCCGGAGCAGTGGCTCTGATGGAAAAAGTGTTTTCCCTCTGATGTTTCCTGTTGTATTCAAATCGGGTAACAATGGGGGAGGGGCCGAAGGTGGTCCCTGAGATCCCAGCGGCTTGAGCTCACTGGAAGGGCAGAAACCTCCTTGGCTGGACCTGTGGACCATGGACAGGGATCTGAGTGACGAGGACAGTAAGTACCGCAGGGAGGGCGTGGGGCAGCCACCTCGGGAGCCGGCACTGAGCTAAACCTTCCCTCTGCCCTCAGTGCCATCTGAGGTCCTGCATGTATGCTGCTGAGAGCATCCTTTCCTTCCTTCCTTTCTGTGCAAAGCCCATTTGCAGCTTGCAGGCTGTTCTTCCATTATGTGCCTCTGAGCATCAGAGGAGGATGGTAAAAACCTAAGATGAGAGCTTTTCTCCCTAACGATGGTAACGCAGTCTAAGTCTTAACATTCTTGAGCCTTCCTTTCTCTAGCTGAGTCTCTCTCCCTCCAACCCCAGAGTCAAATGCAAGTGTGGCTGTCAGGATTCTTATTCCAATCACGGTTGGGTTTGGTTCTTAGACGAGACTAATTTTAAATAAGTGCCACGAAAGGTTTTTACTCATGGCCTCTTTCTAGCAAAGAACTCACTTGTTCATTACCGCTCCAGAAACAGCCCGAGTGACCCCATCCTATCATTACAGGGACAGGAATACAATGGACTCGAAGGACCATATAAAGAGATGAAGAAGGAAATGGTATTTTAGGAAGAAATGTGCTATGTTCTTAAAAAGGATATTTTTGATCCTGAATTTGGAACGGGCAATGTGGTAGAGTAGCAGATTGGGAATTGGGAGGCTAGGGTTCAAGTCCTGGCTCTGCTATTAATTGGCGGTGTGATCTTGGGAAAGTCACTTAACCTCTCGAAGCCCCATTTTCCCCATCTATAAAAGGAGATTGGGTCAGGACTTCTTCATTTGAGGACCATGAAGAAGGTGTGGGTAAAATGTATGAATGTGCTTTTGTGTGTGTGTGTGTGTGTGTGTGTGTGTGTGTGTGTGTGTGTGTGTGTGTTTGTTTTGTTTTTTGTGGTGTGGCACCACAGATTTCATTTGAATCCCAGGGAGGCCCATGACACTAGTACATTGTCACAGTTACTGAACTTGGTGACTTTGAAGGTCCTTCGAGGGTTCAACACTCTTTATTGTCTTCAATGTTGTTATCTCAAAGCTTTAAACTTCAGAGCCAAAGTGGGATATAAAATAAACACATCCTAATCTTAGAGCTCAATTTAAATTCTTTTTCACATTGAAGTAGAAGACTGTATGGAGATATGTTAGCATGTGATTGAGGAGGACTTTATCTGATATATTGGAAATTATGTACCCATAGTCTTATTTTAATAAGCTTCTACTAACATTCAAATGCAAGATTTCCTCTTCAAAGCACTGCTCATTAGCAGTCTTTCAGTTTATATTTGGAGTTTCTCTTAGGAGAAACTGGCTGGGTCATATCTCCATTCAAGTCCAAGCTGTGCCTCCTAATTGCTGGATGACTTGCAGTCACTTAACCTCTCTTGTCATCTTGCAAAATTAGTAAAGGATTAATTGGATGTAAAGTGCTGAAAACACTCCTCAGTCCAGAGTAGACATGGATTAAATGTTGACTCTAGAAAATGATCAGATTTTGTCCCCAGAGTTTTAAAATTAAGCTGCTATTAGCAGAAAATATTATTATCTGTGATGTTTCTATTGTGGCATTATCCTTTTGGTAAGCAAGTGAGAGCAAAATGAACTCTAGTCCCATTAACATTCTAAAAACCCTGATTTTGTCATAGGGTCACCGTACATCTTGATCTTTAATACAGTCGAACCTCAGGTCAGCACTTAGGGGTACTGCAAGGTACGGGATCGTCCAGAAAAGTTTTTAGAAACTAAGTTGATGAACTCTGGAACTATGTACATTTTTCTCCAGGTTTCAGACTAATTGCTATGGGAGTTTCATAGCTTAAACATCCCTTCTTAGGTGAAAGATCGCTACCCACTTTTCCTGTTGAGTTATGCTTCCCAGTCACCGTGTTGTCCCTTCGATTTTTAATCTATAATGTGGGCAGCTTCAGAGAGAGAATATCTTCTTCCAGTGACACACTGGTCCCACACTTTGGGACCAAAGCTGGAATGCATAGGGACATTCTGGAATGTGGCACCCACATGGAAGTCACCTTAAAGATCATTTCACACTGCCACGGTCAAGTACTGGGATGCCTCTGACAGCATCACCGACTAGAGGCAGCGTCTGCCAGCACTGGCCGGGGCACCTTCAGTGGGGGCTGGTCCCCCTTCCACAGCTGACACCATCACATGTTCCTTCCTACATTGAGTTGATATCTCTTTCTCTGAAGCTTCTATTCTTTGGTTTTGATTCTACCCCCAAGGTTACTCAGAGCATGACTGTTCCCTGTTTAAAATAAGAACCCTTCAGAGTCTTTTTTTTCTCTAGCTTGACCAGGTCCTGTTTCTTCAATGGTCCCAGCTGCAATGTGCTTCTAATCACTCTTCTCTTAGAGGGAGATGTTCTAGCACAGAGCTGAAGAGGAAAACTCCCCTTCCTTATTCTAAAAACCATAGCTTTTGTAATAAAACTTCTTTTGTTACAGACTAAAACCCCTCCCAGAAATGGTAAACAGGAGCCTTTTCAAGTAAGATGGAATGCAGCTAGAGCCCCTGGTAATTTTAGGAGGGGGCTGTTCTGGTCCAGGACCATAGGACCTAGGTGGCACCTTCTTATTCCTGGACATTGGTCCCTAGGCAGGTGGGGGCAGTGATTCGAGGCCACAACATTGTCACCATCAGTGACTAGTGCTGAAGAGATGGGACTTTCTCTTTGGCATCTGGACCCCTAAGGCTTATTCATTAAAGTGTCCCCTCACCCCAGCTCTGAGTTGGAGATCTGACAGTGGGTCTGAAGCTATCACTGGAACTTGGTGAGAAATGATGTTGAACTTCCTGTCAGGGGCCCAGCTGCCAAGAGCTTGGTGACTGACTATAGGGCCTTAGCATTTTGACACATCCCTTAGGATGGAGGCACAGCCGCCAGGAATGCAGGCCTCCCTGACAGGTTGGCCCTGGCTTCATAGGGTCTTTCCTGCAGGCCGCCATATTTCTGGAAGGGGATTGTGGGTCTGGAAACTCCCAATGGAAAGATACAGTATCCCTTTTGGGGAGTAAGAAATAAAAACTTTAATGCAATCATATCACAGCTTAGAGAAGGTCCCCTGAATTTGCTTGTAGAGCTCTCTCTTATCCATTGCACCTCTCAGTGGACTCCCTGAGCCCTATTTTAGGAAAAGGGTATCAAGGCCCTAAAAAGTTAAGTGAGTTTCCCCTAAGACTCCACAGCAGGCTAGCTACTCTAGGCTATGCTCATGACCTACCTTCAAGGTGTTCAAAGTCTAGTGGGGGAGGCAGACCCCAAACTGGTATTTTACACATAATAATTCTTATAAGGCCATTTGGCAAAAGCAATGATAGAGATTGGAACCGAGTACCAAGGGCACAGAAAAGGGGAGCCATGCTCAGGTCAGCTTTGCAGGAGGTGAGGTCTGGGCTGAGTTAGGCTGAACCGGGCGATGGGGGTCCATGGGCAGGAACCGCTAGAGCGAGGGCTGGGAGAAATGGCACGGTATATGTGTGAGGGTAAGTGCCAACCTCAGCGTCATGAAGTGACAAGTCACCTCTGGAAAGGAGAGGCAGAAATCCCAGCCCCCACGTGGACCTGTCTTGGCCTGATGGTACTTCCTACAAAGCATGAGTTACACATCCCGGCTAATTGATGACGTATTATAACATTTGCTGCATTGTCTCTTGGCACACCAGAGGGGGCCGACACAACTCCAAGGAAAACTTCCAGGTCTTCTTCCCCCCATTTCTCTAAATGTTGGTGTCACTCACATGGTGGGCATTATATTGTTCCCCCAAATGTTTTCTCAGTGGCCTGCACCTCAAAACTCCCACACTTCTCTTTCAAATCTTAAGCAAACTTATCACTCTCACTCTCCCCGTTTTTGCTCTGTTCTTTATTCTCACCAATTCGCTGTCCCCAGTCAGCAGTCTTCCCTCCTCTCACCCTGCCCTGACAACACAGGAAGGCTTTTGTCCCATCACATGAGCAGACTCTTGTCTGCTCCCTGTCCCACAGGTGATATACGGCCTCACCTGCCAGGTTGAGGAGCTTCAGTGTTAGCTGTGGGCCGTAGTGAGCCAATGCAGGCTTTCTGGTCGTGCTAGGAGGGCCTTTACATAGTATAGGCAGTTGTTTGTTCTTCTTGGCAAAACAAGACTTCTTCCCTTTATCTTATAGTCACCTGAATCTCCCTCTCTCTCTTATTTTAAATAGTGGTAAAGTACACATAACATGACACGTGTCATCTTAACTATTTTTAATGTGCTGTTCAGTGGCATTAAGTGCATTCACATTGTTGTGTAGCCATCACCACCACCTACCGCCAGAACCTTTTCATCTTCCCAAACTGAAACTCTGTCCCCATTAAACACCAACTCCCCGTTTCTCCTCCCCCCTGCTCCTGGAAAGCACCATTCTACTTCCTGCCTCTCTGACTTGGACCACCTGACTCTCTCAAGAATAATTCAAATCACAAGGCATTTATGTGCACCACCTGTATGCAAGAAGGGTGTGGGGAGTGCTTCCCTGTCAAAAAGGGGCTATCACACCTGTTGAAGGAGATAAGATAAATAAAAGTAAAGCAAGATGGCAGGGGGTAACTGCTTGAGCAGAGAGGTGGCACCGTTTCGGTGCTTTTCAGATCATTAATCTGGAATCAGGGGCAGAAGACGTGGGCTCTGTTTATCCTCTGAAATAAAGGGAATGGCATTTTAAAAGAGAAAGTTAAGAGGTTATCCATTAATTATGCCTTTCTCTAGGAGAAAAATTCCTTTCTGTACAAATGAAAAATACTTGGCGGCTGGTGAGCAGAAACCCTACTTTGGTAACACTTTGTAAAGCTTTCTCAGCAGCCACCTGATGCCATTTGCATGGAGTAGGTGCATAGGGTGTTCAGCTAAGTGGTAAGGCCACTGGGCTTGGAGTTAGGACCTGAGTTCTGAGTACTATTTCTGTCTGAGCTGTGAATGTCTGAGCTCCTTGCCTCAGATTGCATCTCCAGCTTCAACTTGATCTTCTGCAAAATGGGGGAAAACAGTGGTTGTCATGGAGTGCAGAAGAGATCCGTCCCTTTGTGAGCCACAGGACACAGTGCACGTGTTAGGGTGGGGTGGTCAGCTGGACAACTGCCCTGGAACTCAGCCCTCACACCATGGAGACAGTGACGCGCCTGGTGGCCCCCTTCGGAGTGCCTCACGCTGGGCATCACACAATGCCCAGTGAAGTCCGCGTTCCTGCTGCGCCTGATGAGATCTGCACAGGAAATGACGCATCGGCCTATAGTTCAGCCAAGAGTCCTTTATTTTTGTACATAACATAATGGTGAGATTAATTTAGTTCTGACGAAGGGCGACTGCCCCGGGAGGTCAGGGTGGCTCCTGTTTGATGGATGGGGCTCTAGGTTTCCCACCTCTCATTCTCCCCCACTTCCTGCCCCTTTGTTTGATTTCTAGCAGGACCTAGCAGGCATATGGCATTTCCCTGTCTTGTCGTGGAGGACGGTGTCGATGCCCTCGCTGACCCAAGGCTTCTGGATGGGCGGGAACCGTCCCGGGAGAGAGGGCTGTGATGGCCTTGCCCTCCTTTCTGTGCTTGACATTTTCACTCTTGTCTCCTGGCTTAAAGGAGCATGAAGAGAAAGGAAAACCTCCCCTCCTCAGGTCCATGGCAATGATTGAGCATTTATTAAATGCCAGGCTTGGGGCTAAGAGCTCTGTGCACAATGCCTCATTACACGGGCACTTATATCACCCACTCTTTCACAACTGGGGGAGTTGAATTCTGCAGAGATGTGTGGCTGGCATAGTGTCACGTATTACATGGCGCAGCTCCAGTGGATTAGCACCCAGGTTCCTAATGACTGAGTCTCGGGATTCCAAGTCCAGTCACCCTGGCTACAGTCCAACTCTGACCTTCACCTTTAATTCTGATTGCTGGGCTCATGGGAGCTGCAACGAACATGCAAAGGCCCTGGTCCCAGAAAGGTTCAAACTCCAGCTTCCACCTTTCTGACCTCCCTCAAACCCATCCACGCAGGTGAGTGTCGAGGTCGGGGTAGGCAAAAAATAGCGCAAGGGCCAAATCTGACCCACGGCCTGTTTTTGTAAAGTTTTATTGGAACAAAGCCACACTTGTTCAATTGTGTATTGTCTGGCTGCTTTGAGGCCACATGGCCAAGTTGAGTAATTGAGACAGACTACTTGGCCCACAAAACCTACAGTATTTACTACCTGACTATTTATATAAAATGTTTGCCAGTCCCTGGGTCACCGGTGGCTAAAATAGCTTAGAATGCTAATAAGCTCATTAGAAACAAAACAATATTGGGAACCAAGGCATGCATAATAATCCCATGTGATCATATTGGGGACTTCGGTACCCATTGGCAGGCCTCAGTTTGAAGCTTTGGGACGATGTCACTTTGTATCACACCTGTGTCTATTCTGGCTCTCTCACCTGTTTCTGAGTAGAATCATTTGCTTACAGAGATAAATTTTCCTGCTAAGATAGGCACTCTCTATCTACATCTGCAAACGTTCTTCTATTTCAGCTTTCTTTGTAAGTTTCCTGCAAGGAGAAAGAACCTTAGAGATGCATATGTGTTTCTTATTGTCAGAGGACAAGGACATTTCTAATTTGAGGGAGTGGTAGGACGGGTTTGTTCATTTGTCTTAATGTCACTCTCCTACCCTTCGCTGTTCTTGGCTACCTGTTTCAGGATTTCAGGCTTTTTCACCTCGTGCCATCTTCACTTCCCGACAACCTAGGCTGCTCGAATTTAGAAAAAGATCTGCGTATTCTTCTAGCCTCTGTTTTTATTAAACTTGAAAGGACGGACATATTATTTTTACTTTTGTGGAGATCAAAGGCTATAAGCTTTAAAGAGGAGGGAGAGAGAG